GCCGCCGCCGCCGCCGCCGCCGCCGCCGCCGCCGCCGCCACCACCACCACCACCACCACCCAACTTAATTCACTTTCTATCCTAACTTGTATTGCTACCTAAAACTGTCTTTTGATGTCTTTCGAACTTATACACTTGGGGTTGGGGATTTAGTTCAGTGGTAGAGTGCTCGCCTAGCAAATGCAAGGCCCTGGGTTCAGTCCTCAGCTCTGAAAAAAAAAAAAAAAAAAAGACAAAATAACAAACTTATACACTTTATACCTCTTTAGTGAGTTTCTTTTCTGTTAACAAGGAAAACTATAACTATCTAGTCTTCAACTCCCTCAGAGACCTCAGAAGGAAATAATATTACCTAAGTAAGCAGGAAGTGCAAACAAGCAACTTCCAAAAATTTGAGAAATGATAGAAACAGTTGTCTGCCTAGACAGTCACCCAAGGTTCCTCTGCAATGTTAGGGCATCCATCTTCAGCCTACAGGCCTAGCATATCTGACAGACTCATCTGTGAAACAGGATTTTCTAAAGGGCCTTCCTACCTTGGCAAAGTTTGGGAGTCCTTTCTTTTGTGTCCTGCTTGTCCATTTTGGATAGCTTACTGTCAGCAGTTGAGGCAAGGGCACTTTCTTGCCCAGTGGCTAACTTTTGCCACAAAGAAAGTAAACTCCATATGGAGTTTCTTTGATACCCACCATCTTCTCTGAAGTAGATTGGTGCTACCAGGAGCAGACATGTCTCACTGTCATTAAAAAAAAAAAAAAAATATATGTTATTATAAAATCTTAAATGCCATACTCTGTAGATCTCTGAAGTGTTTGAAGATGACCTGTCTATCTAAAATATATCTGTTTGACCTTGAAAACATACCTAATATGACTTACAAGTTTGATTGTAATGACTAACTACTAACTTGCATTTCTTTATATCCTAATTAGTTGGTAATAATAACTTTCAAGGACTAGCATGTTGCACTACATTGTTAAATGAACTGTATAGGTACAATACCTTGAACAAGATAAGTGTATATACAGTATATTCCAATAAAATCAATCTCAAATTAGTATCAATATACAAAATTTGTATATAATATACAAAAATCCAATGTAAAATAATTAAAACTAGTAGTTGCTTTTTAAAAGTAGATTCAATAATCTGCCTTTTTTTGTCTTATCATATCCATATCCTCCCTTTTGTCTTTTCAGAGTAGATTCAATAATCTGTCCTTTTATCATGTCATTTCTATACCTTTTTTTTCAGAGTAGATTCAATATTCTACCTTTTATCTTAATCTATATTGTCTTTTTTTTCTTTTCAGAGTAGACTCAATAATCTACCCTTTTATCCTATCATTTCTATATAATATATTTCTATATCATGTCTCCCTTTCTTCTTTTAGAAAGAGACTATGACCAATAACACTTTTTAACTAACCCCTCCCTTAACAAAGACAAATATCCATAATCCATTTTTTGGGAATGTGGGTATAGTTTTCTAGGCTACTTTCTGCTGGTTGGGGATACTGGTAGTCTTATGGGGACACAAAGAAAATTTAGGATTGTGGTCAAGTCCTGATTGTGAGGCTGTATCATCTTAGCTAGGCATCTCGATATTGTCCTGAGCAGTTTGTAGTCCAAAGCCAATCTTTGGGTAGTGTTTGTCAGCTTAATGGTATTATCATCGTCCTGATGGAATTGTCATTGTGGGGTCCCATCATCCTTTTGTAGACTTCAAAGTCACTGTTAGGCATGGTCATGGCTCACTGCAGAAAATCTTTTCCATGGGACATTTTTTCCAGATGATTTGCCCTTTTTCTTCAGATGTCTCATTTGTCCAGTATTCTTCAGATTCCATGGCTGGATGCCTTCATTCTCCTGAAAGACAAAAACAAAACCCTTTCCCAACCCTAACTTTGGAGAGTTTCTAAATCTAATCTTTATCAATTTTGATTTATGGTTTTTTGTTTTCTCTCCTATAGCTATCACCCCAAGCAGTATGTTTTTTTACAATAGGCATTAGGTTCTTTAATTGCTCTGAAAAGAAGTTTCTTCTACAATGACAGGAAAGGACTGAACCAAATTTGACATGGGGGCCTGCAAGAGGCCCCTCAGGGAGTTTCTCAATGGCAAAGGCAAGGGATTACCTTGTTTGTTCCTTGTTGATCTACATTTGTTAGTCCAGTGTCTGCCTTTGCCACACCTTTTGCATAATCCAGAAGGGAGGGGCATTCTGTTGGGATTTTTCCTTGAAAAAAACACTATTTCAAGAATACCCTGTTTACAGTCCCTTTTAGATGACCTTGTTTACTGCAACATTTGACATTACTATTTTTCTTCAAACCTCTTGCAATCACCTCTCCAAGCACCATCATGATCATGAGATTCAATATTCATTGTATCTCAGATCCATTCCTCCAAGGGTGCTGATCTTGCTTTTAATGGCCTAACCTTTTTTTTTTCCTTTTTTTTTTTCAAGATTTATTTATTTGTTGTGTACATTGATGATTTGCCTGCATGTATGTCTGTGTAAAGATGCCAGATCTCCTGGAATTGGAGTTATGGACAGTTGTGAGCTGCCTTGTGGGTGCTGGGAATTGAACCTGGGTCCTTTGTAAGAGCAAACAGTGCTCTTAACCACTGAGCCATCTCTCCAGCCCGGCCTAATTATTCTTTTGCATTGTGCATTAGTATTTTCAAAAGCCAGAGATTCAATTATTTGAATTCAGAAGTCTAGCTTCTGAATTTGGTATCATTCTATTTACTGCTGAAGTCAGTCTTTGTAAGAAATCAGTGAAGGTGTCTTTTGGGCCCTGTATAACTTTTGTAAATGACTCAATTTTCTTTCCTACTTCTTCAGTTCTGTCCCAAGCATTCAAGGCTGCCTTGTGGCATAAAGCCAGGGTGTGGTCATCATATAAAGATTGTCTTTGTTTATCAGCATTCTGCATAAAATTAGGGTGAAGTCATCATATAAAGGTTGTCTTTATATACCAGCATAATCGCCTTCTCCAAGAAGCTGATCTTGGGAAATTTCCATACCTCTAGCTCTACTTTGTTGTTCAGTGGTCTTAGCCTCATCCTTCCACCAGGTCCTCCATTGTAAATCAGGACCAGCCTCTAAGATTGCTGTAACCAAATCTCTCCAGTTAAGGGATAATTCTATTACAAGTTGACCATGAGTTTAACATCTGCTTCATGAAAGACGAGTGGATGCCATATGAGACTATTGCTTCTTTGAATCTCCTCAAATCTAACATTTGCACAGGAATCCAGTCAGCTCTTACACAGCCTTGAGGACATCTATCACTGGGTAGTTCCTGTAAGGTTACTGTGTAGATTAAGGTTGGCTGTTTGAAAGCCTTAGGCTGTTTCTCTGTAACCTTATAATGCAATGTTGAGATTGGTTCTCCTTTAAATTCTTCTTTCTGGGTCTGAGTTTCTCTATGATCTGTTTTAACAAGTTTTTCTAAAACTTTTATCTTGGCACTCATATTAACCAACTTTTTAAATGATAAAACAAAAATGGTCAAACAAATAATATTTATAATTGACATTATATCTATCTCATCAACATTAATTATCCTCTCATTTAATTGTTCCATTTTCAGACTGTTTAATGTATAGTCAAACAGAGACCAAATGCCTTCCATTGTAAAAATGTTTCCTGTTTTTTTAATGTGGGGAAAAAACTTTCTTTTAACTAATTCATCCCTTTAGGAAACCCCAATTGACTCACCGAATCTGCTGACAATGATGATTCAGATGACGGTGTGGCAGCAGCCTGAGGAGGGGCCCAGAGAAAGCTAAAGCCCACCGGGAGAGGAAAGAAGCGGAAGATCCAGCCCTCTGCCTGGGGGACGCGTGTGAACGTCCCTAACTCCTGTGGTTTGGAGCCTCTGGCATCCTCCCCTCCTGTTTATTATGCCCGCCAGTTCCACCTACCCTTTCCTGCCAAGCTGTTGGCCATTCAGCGATTTATTAGACCATCAGGTGTTTTAGACAGGCACAGTATCACAGCTTCACAGAGTTAGACAAATACAACATAAAAGAATGCAGCACATCTCTGCATCATTAAACAAATGTCCACAGCGTTAACAAATAAATGTACACATCTTAAACTAATGTCCCACAACAAGAGACAGTCTTAGCGCTGACCCCAGGCCAAATGAGTCACAGTCTGTGTTGAAAGGTCCTAGGTGACTTGTATGCACAATAAAATGTGTGAAACACTGCCCAAGGGCACTTACTGTGCATGCGTGGTGAGACCTGAGTTGTCCCTGCCCTGAGCTGGGGCAGGTGGAAAAAAGGAAGAGGAGGAGGACGAGACCTGTGTTAGGAGCCTGGCTTCGAAGTGGCTCACATTTCATCAAAGGAAACTTAGCCACATGTTTTCACCACCTCTGGAAAATGCAGGCCTTTTCTAAGTGGCCGGCTACTGCGGCTACACCTCAGGAGGATAGATTTTTAAGGGGGTATGTAGAGATTCACAAAGCTAAACTCCCAGTTAGGAAGACAGAATAAAAACATTTTGGTCTGTACAGACTGTCAGATTTCCCCAGGGAAGAGGCAGCTAGGACATCCACGAGCTGAGAAAGAGGTCATTTATGAGAGGTGACTACGAACCCCAGATCAATAGAAAGATTGTGAAGTATGTCTTCAAGGAGATGAAAGGGATGAACATCCTTAATTTTGAAAGGACGAAAATGTAGATTCTTGGAAGAGAGTATAGGGCTGGATTCATGATGCATTTGGAGAATAAGTGAATTTCAAATGACTATTACTCCGGGGAAACAAGGTTGTATAAAAATAGAGGGCCACAGAGTCCACTATAAATCTTCGCCAAGGCATAATTCAGTACCGGATATTGATCGGACCCCAACTGGTACAATCCTCAGGGGGATGGGGTCAGGATGGAAAGCATTGTACGGGGATCAGGAGGGACAAAGATGGGCTCGGCCTTCACCTTCTGCCAGGTTTGTCCAAGCTGTGGCCTGCATCTATAGATTCATCTTCAAATGTGGCCTACAAGATCATAAACTTGCAGGGCGGTGGAGGCACACGCCTTTAATCCCAGCACTCGGGAGGCAGAGCCAGGAGGATCTCTGTGAGTTTGAGGCCAGCCTGGGCTACCAAGTAAATTCTAGGAGAGGTGCAAAGCTACACAGAGAAACCCTGTCTGAAAAAAAAAATCATAAACTTACTTAAACCATCCTCCTCTTATTAATTTTTTTTGCAGTTTATTTTTTATTTTTGTGGGTTTTTTCTTTCAGTTTGTTTATATGGTGTATTTTTTTAAGATTTATTTATTATGTATACAGAAGAGGGCGCCAGATCTCATTACAAATGGTTGTGAGCCACCATGTGGTTACTGGGAATTGAACTCAGGACCTCTGGAAGAGCAGTCAGTGCTCTTAACCTCTGAGCCATCTCTCCAGCCCTATATGGTGTATAACATTGACAGATTTTCGTATGTTGAACCATCCTTGCATACCTGGGATGAATATTTTTTATTTTTTTAAGACTGATTTTATTTAGGCCGGGCGGTGGTGGCGCACACCTTTAATCCCAGCACTAGGGAGGCAGAGGCAGGTGGATCTCTGTGAGTTCGAGGTCAGCCTGGTCTCCAAAGTGAGTTCCAGGAAAGGCGCAAAGCTACACAGAGAAACCCTGTCTCAACCCCCCCTCCCAAAAAGATTTATATTTTATTTATTCATGTATTTTGTATACAGTGTTCTGTCTGCATGTCATGCCGGAAAAGGGCATCAGATCTCATTATAGATGGTTGTGAGCCATTATGTGGTTGCTGGGAATTGAACTCAGGACCTCTGGAAGAGCAGTCAATGCTCCTAACCTCTGAGCCATCTCTCCAGCCCCTGCAGTTTTTATTTTGCAACTCAATTTTGCAGTTACAGCATAGTCTGCAGTCTGAGCTTTGTAGGTGACAGCATTGTGTCATATGTGATAGCTGGGCATCTGCTAGATGATGCTGAAAGGGGCAAAGTCAAGAAGGAGCAAAATGAGTAAGTTCAGAGATGGGGGGGGGGTAAATGTCCTCAGAAACATTTGAAGGAGGTGGAGAGAGTGGATCCCTGCAGGAGAAAGAAATCAGCCCTTTACTTTTCTTCTTGTTAAAACTCTTGTTGTTTTTTGAGACAGGGTTTCTCTGTGTAGTTTTGGTACCTGTCCTGGATCTCGCTCTGTAGACCAGACTGGCCTCAAACTCACAGAGATCTGCCTGGCTCTGTCTCCTGAGTGGGATTAAAGATGTGCACCATCACAGCTCGGCCTTGTTAAAACTCTTAAAGCTGCTGGGTGGTGGTGGTGCACATATTTAATCTCAGAACTCAGGAGGCAGAAGTAGGCAGATCTATGTGAGTTTGAAGATAGCCTAGTCTATGTAGTGAATTCTAGGACAGCTAGGGCTATGTAATGGGACACTAAATGAAAAAAAACAAACAACAACAAAAACCCAAACATGGTGCATACCTTTAATTTCAGCACTTGGGAGGCAGAGGCAGGTGAATCTCTGTGAGTTCCTGGCCTACAGAGCAAGTTCCAGGACAGCTAGGGCTACACAGAAAAACCGTGTCTTGAAAAAACAAAAACAAACAACCAAACAAGCAAACAAAAACAAACCCAAACAAATACAACCACCACACAAAAGAATATTGTAGCACCATAGGACTCTTTTTTGTATGTATATAGTGCTGTAGATAAACTCAGGGTCTTGAATGTGCTAGGCAAACACTACTCCAGCACTTATCTGCTGCCTTAAAAGGTCTGTATTTATTACCTTGAAAATAAAAAGTAAATTTTAAAAAAGAACCAAGCTTGATAGTAAGTCCAAGCATTTGGAAGGCAGAGGTAGAAGGAAGAGGTCAAGGCCAGCCTTATCTACTTGTCTCAAAAAACCAAACCAAGGGGCTGTAGAGAGATGGCTCAGCAGTTAACACTGACTGCTCTTCCAGAGGACCCAGGTTCAATTCCCGGCACCACAAAGTGGCTCACAACCAACTATAACTCCAGTCCTAGGAGATCCAACACCTTCCTCTCATATCTATAGGTACCTCATGCATGTGGTATGCAGACATACATGCAAGCAAACTACCCACATACATAAAGTAAACATAAAGATTAAAAATAAAACAACAACAAAATCCAAACTAAAACCAGAAAAAAGTGGGAGAGAAAATCGAGATAGACATTCCTGTGAAAGAGACTTCGGAGTGGAGGAGAGGTCCCCCCGCCCCTTGCTTTCTTCCCTACGTCCTCTCTTTCCTTCCTTTCTTCATGTTCCCTTCAATGGAAGGGACTGGAGTGGGTTTATTTACCTTGGAGGAAGAGCCAGTAGGGAGAGATAGAGGTTGAGGAGGAGGAGATGGTTTGATGAACTGAGATCTAGGAGGAGATGGGAGGGGAGGTGTGAGCAGAGAAGGAGGGACTGGCCTTGCCCTAGGGATGCACCATAACCTTCCTGTCTGAACTGTCTTCTGCATCAATGTAGGGGAGCAGGGGGTGGGATGCCCATATCACCCATGTTTTCTTTTTTTCCCCTTATCTGGAAAAGGGGGAGAAGCCACTGAGCATGAGGCAGGGGTAGAATTAGTAGTATGGGGCAGAGGAGGAGGTAAGGGAGTTATTAGGTATTGAAAGCCCAGCCTAGGTTAGAGACGATCTGTGGTCCTGGATCTCTACTCAGGCCTCAGTACAGTGTCAGAAGCTGTGTGTTCAAAGGTATTTGTCGAATGAACAAATAAGTGTGGTCATGTGACTCCTGTCATTGGCAGTGTACGCCAACCAGCCACTGGCCCTGATGTTAGCGTAAAGAGGTGGGGGTGGGTGATGGATCTAGCGGTGAGGTTTTCATGGTGAAAGGGAAGAGAAACCAAGAGTGCCCATGAGATAGTGGTTGATAAGGCCTTGGAAAAGATCTTGGTGTGTGAACTGGAAAGAACAGGAAGTGTCAAATCATGAGCCAGTTAGGAAATGGCTATAAAAGTCTACCTCGGACTAAAAGTGTGCGCATTAATAATATCAGAAGGAAGTGTTTTGCTATAATCTCAGCACTCTGAAGCCTAAATCTCAAGAGTTCAAGCCAGTCTGGGCTCCAGAATGGAGACCATGCCTCAAAACAGACAACAGAAATGTTTTGGAACTAGATAAAGGTGAAAGCTATACAACACTGTGGTGTGGAGATATCGAACAATGTCACACCGTGTGCTCTAAAATAAAAAGGGAACAAGATACAAATGCAGAAGATGCAGCCACCTTTAATCCCAGTACTTGGGAGGCAGAGGCAGGTGGGTCTCTGTGAGTTCGAGGCCAGCCTGGTTCCAGGACAGCCAGGACTGTTACACAGAGTGACCCTGTCTCAGAAAAACAAACAAGCAAACAGCAACAACAACAACAAAAGGAGAAGAAGATGTAACAACCTGGGAAAATACCGTATACTACACAGGGTTAATTTCCTCCCCCCCCCCCATGCTCTGTCTCCCTCTTGCCAGAGGTGGTGCACTTCTCTCTCTTTCTCTCTCTCCCCCCCCCCCCCCCCCCCCCCCGCCCCCTTCCTTTCTTGTGCTTTGGGCAGCTAGGCAAGTGCCCCACCAACAAGCTAACAAACCCTGCCTTCTGCCTGTTCTTTCCCTCGGGGCTGGGGATTGAACCCAGGACGCACACAGCCTGGGTGAGTGCTTTCTCACCGGGCGATACTCCAGCCTTTATTAGTGTACTCATTTTATTTTCCATTTGTCCATGTGTGCTTCATTTGTTATTTATGTATTTGAGACAGGATCTCCCTGTGTTGCCCTAGCTGGCCTTGAACTCACAGGTTTGCCTGCCTCTGCGGAGATCAAAGGTGTGCACCACCACACCCAGCATTTATTTGTTTTGTAGACAGTGTCTCACTCTGTATTTCTGGCTGTCCTGGAACTCAACATAGATGAGCCTAGCCCCAGACTTGAGGCAATTATCCTGCCTTTGACTCCTGAGTATGGGGATTATAGTGTGTCATTATGTCTAGATTATCAGTGTATGTTATTGTACAAAATAATGGGTTTCATTATGCCATCTATGCACATATATGAAGTTTTGACCATATTCCCTGCCTTATTACCCTCTCTTACCCCCTTTACTCCATGGACCCCTTCTTCTTGCCTATCAGTTCTTTTTCTATGCTACCTTTGCACACATGTGAGAAAACATGCAATGCTTGTCTGAGACTTGATTAGTTTACATGGCAAGATTTTGCTGTATTCTTTAAAAATCTGTATTGTATAGGAGCGTTTATGTACATGTCCCACGGTTCCTGTGTGGAGGTCAGAGGACAGTTTGTCTTGTGTGTTCGGGTATTGAACTTGGGTCTTCAAGATTGATAGTAAGCACCTTTGACCACGGCACCATTTCTCCAGCCCTGTTTTGCTGCACTCTTAAGAGCTTTTAGTCTCTTCAAGGTGTGTGTGGATGGCTGTGGCTCAGGGACAGAGCCCTTGCCTAGCATGCTGAGGTCCTGTGTTTACCAGCTTGCACGGCCCCACCTACCTAACCCCCTAAAAGAAATACAAAGGCATCAGCTCGGGAAGTTGGGTTTATCTTCTCTTATAATCAGATAAATGTAATTGAGATAGGAAATACTTGGGGCAGGTGAGATGGTTCAGAGGTGAAGAGCAGTGATTTTTCTTTAGAAGACCAAGGTTTGATTCTCAGAATCTACCTGGCAGCTCACAGCTACCTGTAATCCAGTCCCAGGGGATCTGACACCCTCACCATGAGTACTGCACATACGTGATACAAACATATACATGCCAGCAAGACACTCAGATATGTTAAAAAAAAAAAAAAAGCTGGGGCATGGTGGCATACACCTTTAATCTCAACACTTAGGAGGCAGAGGC